TGCATTCAGGGAAACAGTACAAAAGACTGAACACCCTGCTAAAAACAACAACTTCCACGGTTAAGCAAACAATTGCTTAATTCAAGAAGTATCTACTACACGTGATTACTAGGTTCAACAAGATGAATGCAGGTGCCTGGCACTGGTGGCTCAGGCCTATAATCCTAGCTACTCAGAAGGCTGAGAACTAAGGGTCACAGTTCAAATACACCCCAGCCAGGAGAGTCTGTGAGGCTCTCATCTCCAATTAATCACCAAAATACTGGACGTGGAGCGGTGGTACAAAGGGGTAGAGCACTCACTAGCCTTGAGCAAAAGAACTCAGGGACAGTGCCCAGGCCCTGAGTTCAAGCCCCACCACCAACAAAAAGAAAAAAAAAAAAATGAGCTGGTGAAGAAACTGAAAGAACACTTCCCATCCCGAGCACCTAAGCAATGCCACCAACTATGTACCATCTAACCTGCAGGAAACAAAATAACTAAGAACAGAGGTCAGCAACAAAAAGGAAGCATACACTCAGGCTGCTAGGACCCAAAGCCAAGGACCCTAAAACAGGAAAGACAGGAAAGCCCAGGAGATACATATCTCCAATTAACTACCCCAAAAATGCCAGAAGTGGAGCTGTGGCTCAAGTGGTAGGCTTGTTTTCTCAAGTGCTAGCCTTGAGAAAACAAAAAAACAAAACCACCTTAGGGACAGTGCCCACACCCTGAGTTCAAGCCCCAGGACTGGCTCACACACCCAAAAAAGAAACTGTGCTTGAAACCAAGTATGAGGGCTCACACCTGTAATACCAGCTATGTGGGAGGAAAAAGGAAGGAGGATCTTCAGTTTGGGCAGAGACCCCATCTCTAAATAAAGCAAGAGGCTTGAGGGGAGTAGCTCAAGTGGTCCAGTGTTTTTGCCTTGCAAGGGAAGGTCTGGGCTCAATCCTCATGTCCTCTCTCCCCTCCAAAATAAGGGCTCCTTGGAGTGGCCTGGTGGGCATGTCTGTAATTGCTGCTACTCTGCAAGAGCATCAAGACTTTGAGGCTACTCTGAGCAATTTAGTGAGATCGGTCTCAAAATGAAAAGGGCTGGGAATGTTGCTCAGTGGGAATTTTGGGAGGCCCCAGGTTCAGTCACCAATGGGGGAGGGGAAGAGGGGGAGAACGTGGTGTTATAGAGTTCAAGGCCAGCCTGGCCACATTGCAAGACTCCAGAAACATGCATACATTATATATATGCAACAAAACCTCATCTTTCCTGGGAACACTTATCCTAGCTTATGGAATGAATTGTTGCCCAACTCTATAATGAAAAAAAAAAAAAAAAACAACACCAATTTCCGGACACCAGTGGCTCACGCCTGTCATCCTAACTACTCAGGAGACTGAGATCTGGAGGACTGCACTTGAAAGCCAGCTGGAACAGAAAAATCCATGTAACCTCATCTCCAATCAACGAGCAAAATGCATGAGACGTGCATGGCTGGAGTGTGCGAGGCCCTGAGTTCAAGCCCCAGTACAGGCACCAGTGAGGCGCACACGCACACCACCCCAGCTTTCCGTATACAACTAGTGTACAAGGGCGTCCCCTGCTAACTGTGCCCGGTAAGACGTCCTCACCGACCGCACGAACAAAGGCACCGACAACAAGGTGCACGCGATTTGGGGGAGGCCCGGGGAAAAGGTCACAGCAGAGGTGAACGGGGCCTGGCAAGGGCCGAGGCCGCAGCGGGCAGGTGAGGCTGGGCGAGCGCCAACCCGGGCCTTCGGCGCGCGCAGGTGCAGGCGCGTCCGGGGCGGCCCGAGCCGCAGGCCCCGGGCTCGCGGACGCGCAGGCCCCGGGAGCGTGCGGGGCCCGGGCGCGGAGCGACTTCGGGGCTCTCCCCGGGCCTAGGCGGAAGGCTGAGGGCGCCGCGGCAGAGGCCTCCGGAGCCCCGCCTGCGTCGAGCCCTGCTTACCTGCAGTGGCCTCCGAAGCAGAGCCCCGCACCCGCGGACACCGCCACGCAGAAAGACCGCCAGCGCCGCCATGGCTTCCCACAACAGCGGCGTCAAGGGCAAGGCCGGAGCTGCGCGCCCACGCGGCCTCCTACCGTAGACGACACCCAGCAAACCCGTCAGGTCCCGCCTCCCCCTCCCGCTCCTCCAATAGCAGCCGTGGTTGGGGGCGATTGGCCCGCAGCGGACGGAGGGGCGGGGCGTAGCGCGGAGTCGGACGAAGGTGGCAGCCCTGGTGTAAAATTGACCGCTGTAACCGCCGGGACTGGGAGCGGGGGGGGGGGGGGGGGGGGGCAGACACAGACAGACAGAGAGACCCACACAGCTCCTGACTTCATGGGTGTTTTCAGGGTTAAAGTGGGGGGGGGGGAGGGGGGGGGAGGCGGCGGGGGCACCCAAGGCAGAAAGCACGCGACACTCCACTGGCTCCAGGGAACACTGGTTTATGTGTCACCCGAGCCCCTCCTACGCCCAGCCTGCCTTTCTCCCTAAAACTCACGTACGAAGCAAATGCATGCATGTGCTTAAAAAAGAACCCCCTCGGCTTTTAACTTCGTATCCATGAAAGTCTGCAGAAAGAATAGGCCGGGCTGAGCCGGTGGCCCACGCCTGCAATCCCAGCTCCTCAGGAGGCTGGGATGCGAGGACAGCAGACTAAACCCAGCCCCGGCAGGAAGTCCACTGCACTCTAAGCTGCAATTACCCAGCAACTACCTGGATGGAACGGGAGCTGTGGCTCAAGTGGTGGACCGCTAAGGGACAGTGCCTCCTGTGCCCTGGGTTCAAGCCCCGGTATGGGGGAGAGGGAGGGAGGAAGATAAGGGAATATTGTTAAATAATGTTTAAAATAATGAATGTACAAACAACTCCATTAAGTGAGGTCGTGCTGCGCAGGAAGTGGCAGAGCTGGGGTCTGAAGCGGCATCGTGCAGCGCAGCTTTCTATGCCTTCTCCTCTAAAATAAACGTTATCTGTGACTATTCCCTCATCTGTGGAGCCATGATCAGCTTTGGACCTCCAGCAGAGGACAACAAAGCTGTGTGACTTTGCAACATCAATTTTTTATATAGGATATTTATAAGTATACAAAAATACATAGAACTATTATAATTCATGTCACATATTAACATAACTGAAGTATGATTTCTCAATATAGACTTACCGTTTGTATGTATAAATACGTAACTTTTAAAATACTTATTTGTTTTTTGGTGCTGATGCTTGACCTCAGGCCCTGATGTTATCCCTGTGCCTTTTCGCTCAAGCCTAGCACTCTACCATTAAAGCCACAACTCCCTTTCCATCCAGCTTCTTGGTGGTTAATTGGAGATGTTTCATAGACTTTCCTGCTCTGGCCGACTTTGAACCAAGATCCTCAGATCTGTCTCCTCAGTAGCTAGGAATATAGGTGTAAGCCACCAACACCCAGCTAAATCGTTATAATACGGCATGTTATGTATGTGTGTATGTGTATATATATATGTGCACATTTATATGTATATTCCTAATTGAAAAGGTTGAATTTTAAGATACATCTTGAAACCACTAGTCTGGCTTAATAAATGTTAATTGCCAGTGTTTTTGTTTGCTGACATAGGATCTTGCTACATAGCCTAGGCTGCCCTTCAAGTGGAAACCCCCTTCCTGCTTCAGCCTCCCAAGTGGTGGGATTATAGGTGTGCTTTACTCTATCTGGCACAAGATTGTCAGTTTTGACAGGCTGCCAAAGCTGGTGACTGGCACCAGTTCTATCAGGGCACCAAGGATAATGGCTAGGTTTGGAGACAAAACAGTAAAAGATAACTACTTATAATGGCTACTTTTGTGGTTAATATAGGCCAATTATGTAACAGGTTCATCGTCATAAGCCCCTCTGCATTAAGGAATGTCATTCTGATTAGGAGTCTCCATCACCACAGGCACTACCAGGAAATCCTGTCACTTGTTGGTCAGGAGAGCTTCATGACTTCTGAGGTATTTAGGAACATGTGAGGAAGAGCAATGAATTTACTTCCAGAGCTACCTCGGGCAAGAAGAATTTACTTCCAGAGCTACCACAGGCAAGATGAATTGACTTCCAGAGCTTCCACGGGCAAGGTGCTCTTTATAGCTTAACTCAAATTAAGAGTAAATAAGCATGGTGGTACAGGCATGTAATGCCAGCATTTAGGAGATTGAGGCAGGAAGATCATGAATTCTAGGCCAGCCTGGGCTATGGAACAGGACACTGTCTCAAAACAGAGAATCCTGAGTAACTGCACCACACCATTCTATCTTTGGGGCAGTTTAGATAACCCTAAATGTTAAATCTTATCTTCTGTATACATTTTGAAAGAATTAGAAATCATCACAGATGCACAGAATTTGGAGTTAGAGCAACTAGTTGAAGGAGTTAAATGTGAGATCACCAGTCTAGAAAACATGTGAGAAACACTTGTAAGTGGAACGGAATTGGGGGTCACAGGGTTTGTCCTGTGATGTGCTGCACCCCTCCAACTATGCCCCGCTCACCCCTGGGACAGGCAAGTGGGGCTTCAATCTTTCAAAAGGAAGTTCATTTTGGATTCTGACATTGCCTAAGTTCAAGGATACCTAGCTGATAGCTCCACGTAGGGCAAATATTAACCTTGCAACACGCACTGTAAACCTTCCATTTCTCTAACACCCATGAGCCTCAGAGTGGTTTCTTAGAAGTGGCAAACTCAGGGCCTGGGCGCTGTCCCTAAGCTTTTGTGCTCAAGGTCAGGACGCTTAAGCCACAGCTCCACTTTCAGCCTTTTATGGTGGCTAACTGGAGGACTTTCCAGCCCAGGCTGGCTTCAAAGTGTAATTGAGGGTTACAGGTGTGAGTCACCTTTGCCCAGCCTCGGTTCAAATTTTTAATCTCCTCAGACACAAACAGTCCTGTTTTCATTTAAAGTAGAACTTGAATTCTAAAAGAAATAGGTATTTTCCTATTTCTGGTATCTAAGACTGGATGTTATTTTACAATAACATTGATATGTTCTGGGTAAGTGAAAGCTTTTATATTACATTTTTTATTTTGCAAGAAAATAAATTATACAACTTAAAAAATAAAATCCAAAAAATTAAGCAGTTCATCAAAATATTTTGGCCTACTGCATACAGAAACTACCATTAAAATCATACAGCATTCTCATCTCGGTATGTAGTGGCGCACATTCAAGACGAACAGACCATGAGGACAGAACACGCCTCAGGAACTCAAGTTTGTTCAACACTCCGGACGACAGTGTAGATGACAGGAAAGCTCTCACATAATGTGCTACTTCCCAACCATGACCTTGGAGGAATTTGTAAGACAGCATCCAGTCATTTACATGAGAATAGAAAAACCAGCTTGAGTCTAAGATAGCAAAAATCTTCTGTAAAACAAGCAAATCTTTCACCCAAATTGAATTCTAAAATTTGCCCTTTGAGCAGAGCTAATGGTATCTACTGAAAATAATGCAAAATCCCTTTTAGCTACTGGGTCATATTTTGTATTAAACTTAATAAAAAGTGAAATTAACTTTCATTTTTTGGAAATGTTAACATTTATGCACAAAACAGACTTACTTAAATGGTTTGGGAAACTCAGGAACCCCTCCAATAAATGTAAAAATTGGAAGACTTCAGAATTTACTCCAAGATCCTCATTGAATTATTGGTGCAATAACATTCAAATATTTATGCTAGCATCAAAATTGTCATTATCATTTTTCAAAATTTGTTTTGTGTCTACTTATTCTCACAATGGGGTTTCAAACAAGGCTAACATTTTCAGGTTGCTCCATCTCTTCTTTTGTTTTTGGAGATAGAGACACACTATGTCATCCAGGCTGGCTTTAAATTCTTTCTTCCAGCCCCAGCCTCCTTGAGCACTGGGATTAAAGATGCATACCATCACACCTGGCATAATTGACTTCATCTTTAAATAACAAGATGAATGTTCAAAACTTAAATTCACCTGAAGCATATTCCTGTTACACTACTCATTAAATAACAATATAAAGTGTTGGAGCAGGAAGGGTCACATTTTTTTTCTCTCTCAATGACATCATTTCACCTCTGCTCGCTCAGCACTTCAGTGCTGAGAAGGGACCTGATGAATACTGTGATATGGTACCTTTAGCATATTCCACAGCAGTGTTTGATATTTTTTATTCTTTTTTAAATTAAATTAACAGCTATATTGTCAAAACAAAGGAAATTAAACAATGGTCTTGACAAACACCAAAAAGTAGTTGAACTTCTGCATACATACCACCCCCCCCAAAAAAAAGGTGGGGGGTAAAAAGTCTAAGTTGACAGTATTTGCTGTTGTTCATTTCCCAAAATACAATCAGGACATAATTAGCTATTAAAAATTTATAAAAAATTTAATAGAAAACTTTGCTATGGATTTAGTGTTACCCATTTTGCATTAAAGTTTCCTTCATAAATCAAAACATCCTGGCTCTTGTTCTTAAGATAAATGACCAAAATGATTATGCTTCCTCCTTTCCTGGCATTCCTATTAAGGGACAAATGTCAATACCAAACGATTCGTTACATAAGGGCCACAATCATTACAAAATTATTTCCTCTAAATTGTAAATTTATCCACTGTCAGCAGTCATCTAATTAGAGAAAACAATGAGTACTACATTAATCCTTCACAATATGCTTTGCCTAATAATTCCTACCTTAGAGTTGAAGTTTAGGATTTTAAATTATAAACAAAACTCCAATTTCCTATGAATTTCAGAACAGATAACTGACTAGAACCAGCAAAACTTTACTGTTTTAAGCTTACTTTCTCTTCCTTCTAGCAGGGAGCTCACAAAACTTCTGGGATTAGAACAGATTCCATGAAATGCTCTCAAAACATTCTGCTACAAAATAATACTGTATGCTGATTTTCAGTGCTCCATTTTTTTTTCTAGCTCCAAAACCATACTTTAAAATATAATTGAACATCCAAAAAGATAAAAAGCAAACTGCAAGAAAATTTGAAACGTGCACCACAGTGAATAAAATCCATGTTGAGCCATTCTTTCCCAATGAGGAATGAATTGTTGACTTTTTAGTGGTTCAAATCCTCCAGTCCTTGACATTTCCGCTGCTCTGAGTACGCGGCCAGCAACCAACAGGCTGCTGCTTTGGATTGACTGAAAGGAACAAGTGTTGCCTTCTGGACATCTTAAAAAAATGTTTATTTTTAAAATATATAAATATATATGTACATATTTGGCAAGTTTTCTGCTCCTATTGAGATTGTAACAACTTTGCTTATACTTTTGGGGTCATATGTTGTGGTTTTCCCCTTCCTCCCAGATGACTGGCAACCATTACTTTTTAAAAGAGAACAACTTTTTTCCCCAGAAACCTGAGGCTATTAATTCCTTACTCATGAGACTGAAATACTGAAACAGTTGTACCTTAAGAGATCAGTTCCACAACTGCACTGTAGTAGAGCAGGAGATTTCTGCATTTTCAGAAACTGAGATATGGCATAATAAATATTAGGACTATAAATATTAAGTGTTAGTAAATACACTCAATGTTTTTGCTTGACTCTGTAATCATAATGATCTATTTCCATAAAATTTTAACAACCGAAGCAACAATTAACAAACTTCACTTTTTCACAAGCCCTCCAGCCATATAAGATGAAAAAAGAACAAAATTACTGCTCACTCAACGAATTAACTAAGACAGTCATCTCCTGCATCAGAAAACCAGTATTAGAAAGGTGGAGATTTTTGAGGTCACCACTGAAATGCAGTTGTTCAAACTGAAAGCAGCGTGTGAACAAATAATCACCCTGCTAACTAATCTTCATCTTCTTGCCTTCATCTGCCCTCTCCCAGTGTGGTGCTGACCAGCTCATTCTGCCATTAAAAACCAAGAGATTTAATTGAATTTTGTAAAACAAAAGACAACAGTACTTTTCAGTGCATGAATCTGAATATCCTTCCTTGTGCAAGTACATGTTTTTAAGAGGAAAAAGAGAAAAGCAACTAGAACCCTGTCCTCACCCTTCTCAACTGAACTTCTCCTGGTGGGTAAATACAAATTCACTTTTAGAAGTTCATAATGGCTCTTCATGAGTGCAAGTTTCTCCGCAGAACAGCATGCTGGCAGAGTGTGCCGCATGAAGGAGTGCCACCATGCTACCTAATGGGATTGGCAAAATATAGTTGTTCTGTAAGGTAAGGCAGAGATTTTAATATTTATGTTATCCAAGTCCAAATAAACCTTTCTCCAGCTCAAACTGAGACAACTTCTGCCCAAGCACTTCAAAATCTGGGTTCTTAACATCGTCCATGATATTCAGAACTATGCCATATATATGAAAGTGTTGATGTCCGATTCATCTCTTCTGATGTACTTGTGCTCTATTAGCCATTCTATTTGTTCTTTTATCATTTTCTTTTGTGGCAAGAACATGTTTTTCAAAATTTCTACTAATTCAGTCTGCAGTTGAGCATTACTAATTTTCTTTCTCATTTTCATTATTTGTATGATGGCTTCCTAAAAGAAAAATAAGAGTATTAGTATAATAAGCTTATTTAAGTAGAGCAACACAAAAAGTGACTCTATGAATACTTGATCTTCTATCCAACACCTACCAAACAGAAATCACTATAGATTAATACTGAGACCAAAATTTACTTAACAAATAAAAATATTCTTTTCAGACCCTATAAATTAATAAAAGAAATCTGCTAATACAGATTTTGCAACTAAGGAAAAGCAATGTTATTCTGCTGGGGGAAAAAAACCCAGCTAATTATTTATATAGAGAGACTTTTCCATTTCTTTTTCCCACATTGTATACATTTCTTGCCAGGCACCAATAGGTCACACCTGTAAATCTTAGCTACTCAGAAGGCTGAGATCTGTAGACTAGGGTTCAAATCCAGCCTGAGTAGCAAAGTGAGACTCTTATCTCCAAATAACCACCAAAAAGCCAGAACTAGAGCTGTGGCTCAAGTGGCAGACTGCTAGCTTAAGCAGAGAAAAGCTTTGGGATAGTACCCAGGCTCTGAGTTCAAGCCCTAGGACCAGCATATATAACACATGTGTGCACACACACAGGAGAGAGAGGGAGAAAAGGAAAGAGACAGAATTCGGAAAAAAATTTGTATCTAAATAAGTTTCCATAAGTACATATTAAAACAGAATTAGAGCTCTAGAAATAAAATACAACTGAAAGTGTTTCAATCTTATAATATGTAAACATTGTTAAAATACATTTATTCAGGTGGAGCCAAAAGGTACCATAACATAAAACCAAAGTTTTAGGCAACCAACAGAGTAGAACCTGCTGGAAACCACCTACAGAGACACCTCTGTTAGCAGTAAATAATTATTAGTTTTATTTAAGTTTCAGCTAAATGCAATTTTAATAAATTTAATTTTTAAATTCCAGTTACATGAAAATCAGTTCTTTTTTAAAACAGGATAAATAACCTAAATACTTTTAAATTCAAACAAAGTTTGAAGAGTGAAAAAGAGGCTTTGATATTTAGAGATTCTGAACATCACAAACCTGGGTTCTTAATATTCTTAGCTGAACTATTCCTTCATTCTCCTCTTCTCTCATTCTTTCTGTAGTTAACTGCAAGCGTCCAATTAAGTTGATTTTACCCCTTTTCTGAACTTTTGCATTTTTTCTGTAAAAACATTTTAAAATTTTCATGATGAAGAGTAATAAAACATTACATAGAAAGTGACTGCGAAAAACTTAGGAATACACTGAAGATTAATATTCAAAAATTTTAAGAAGTAACTACCAATATACAACTTTATCTAAAACAAATTCTAAGCTGGACACTAGTGGCTCAAAGCTTAAATCCTAACTACTTGGGAGGCTTGAGACAGATTATGTTCGAGGACAGCCTAGGCATAGACAGGCTGGGCATATCAACCAACAGTTGGGCACAATGTATGCGTCTATTGTCCCAGACACATGTCCAGGCTGACGTCTGGACAATGGTGGTTCCACAGAAACAAAACAAAAAATCTATGCTGGGTGTGGTGACACATGACTACAATTCCAGCACTTGGGAGGATGGCAACTTAGGGATAGAGTGGGGTATGGTACATACAGAGCAAATCTGAGGTCAGATTGGGCTACACAGTGACACTATCTCAGATGAAACTAAAAAATTCTATGGACTTTTTTATGCTTTTTTTTTTTTTGGGGGGGGGTCC